TTAATATGTGGACTCTCCATATTTTCCAAGGATTTGACGGAAAAACTATCATTATAGTTTTAGAACACTTCACTGGATTCTTTATGTGGACTTATTTCATGTTTTTCAAGGATTGGACAAGGATAGCAAAACTATCACTGGATTCCTATATATTTCTCAAGATAACTCGTCTGGCTTTAATATGTGGACTCTCCATATTTTACAAGGATTTGACGGAAAAACTATCATTATAGTTTTAGAACACTTCACTGGATTCTTTATGTGGACTTATTTCATGTTTTTCAAGGATTGGACAAGGATTATGAAACTCACTGGATTCCTGTATATTTCTCAAGATAACTCGTCTGGCTTCAACTTGTGGACTCTGTCCATGTTTCCCAAGGATTAGACTGCAAAATATACATTGAATTCACAGGAGAATTCTTCACTGGATTCCTTATTTGGAATCATTTCATGTTTTTCAAGGATTGGACAAGGATAGCAAAACTATCACTGGATTCCTATATATTTCTCAAGATAACTCGTCTGGCTTTAATATGTGGACTCTCCATATTTTCCAAGGATTTGACGGAAAAACTATCATTATAGTTTTAGAACACTTCACTGGATTCTTTATGTGGACTTATTTCATGTTTTTCAAGGATTGGACAAGGTTTATGAAACTCACTGGATTCCTGTATATTTCTCAAGATAACTCATCTGACTTCAGCTTGTGGACTCTGTCCATGTTTCCCAAGGATTAGACTACCAAACTTTTATTGAGTTTCCAGGCAAACTCTTCATTGGATTCCTTATGTGGACTCCTATATTTTTCAAGGATTGGACAAGAATAGCAAAACTATCACTGGATTCCTGTATATTTCCCAAGACAACTCATTTAACTTCCTGTTGTGGACTCTGTGTTTCCCAAGGATTTAACTCAACCAAACTACAGTATCATTGGATTCCTGTATATTTCTGAAGATAACTCATCTGGATTCTTTTTATGGACTTAGTCCATGTTTCACAAAGAATATGCTCTGCCAAAATATTAGATTCTCAAGATGACTGCAGGTACTCTCTTGTGAGGACTTTGTCCCAATTGTCAAGAAGTCCTATCCAGGACGTTATAGTAAATATTGTCCATGGACCATTCCTGTGGGTGGACTGAACAATGCAAGAAATGTACCTGAGCAGTTCAAGTGACGAGCCCTCTATTCACGAGGCCGTCCACATAACTTCCTTTATCCTTATTTTCCCATTTCCTTTTCCCATTTCCTTTTCCCCTTTTTTTTCGCCACTCCTTGTGGGTGGTCTTCATAAACATCACCATTAGCTTGCTATTGGTGAGCGATGTCTAGTGATAGTTAGTCTAGCTATCATTAGATATCCCGAAGTAACCCTTGGTGCGTTGTTTAGGGTTCAACGCAACGAGAGAGTTCCTTCAGGGAAGTCTTTCATGAAGGATTTCCTTGTAGGATTCTCTCGGACGATTAGCCCTGGTCCAGCTCGTATTCGCAGACCTCACCGTGGTGAGCTGGTGAACGTGGAATAGCATGAATGCTATTCCATGGCCAACATGCGACATCATTCTTTACTTTCAAGCATATGGATGACAAGGTGAGCTGTATATTTATTTAAGATTAAAGTAAATTTAATATAAATCCAAATATTAAATTTACTGAAGTATTCTTAAAGTAAAATACTGTTAACATATATTTCAAAGTTTCTGAACATGTTATTGAATTTTGCCTCTGGATTCTAAATACGGTAGTAATTTATTAACTTATGTTCAATATATATATATTTTCTTCTGATCTTGGTACTTATGAATTGACATGTTCAGAACTGATTGTCATTCTGCCTATAAATTATTAACATTCACAAACTTTTGTATAAAAATCTTTGAATGTTAGATATTAAGTCACTGCACATCCTCTCAAGTGTACTCTATATATATAAACCTCTGAACTTCAATGCTAATCCTGACCTGAAACACTTCCTAGACGGTTGTAACAGAACCCACGGGCACCAAACTAATATCTACAGTATTTGATGTTCCAAGAGTGCGACTTAACCAAAGTAGAAATGCTCTGCAAATTAAGGGTCCCAAAATATGGAATGACCTTCCCAATCATGTCAAATACTGTCCCTCTCAGCCAGTTTAAGAGAGAAACTACTACCTAATCAACTCGATGTACCTTACCTTCTAAATGTCAATCTATGTTGTGCTGTTATTGGATATTAATGATCAATGCCTGAACTTGAAAAACTGCTGATATCTGCCATATAAAAACTTTTAACAAATTTATTCCTTCTGTTTATTTAATTAAAATTACTATCTGCTGTTCATTTAAAAATGTAATTAGTCATTCTTTTTCGTTTTTCTACATTAGTTCAATTTTTGCTTTTGAGCTGAATTAGTTTTAAGTCTGTTCATAAGTTTTTTTCCACATCAAGCACGAAGCGCTGTGGCTATTAGCGGCTCTAGGCATACAGTCATATATACTTACTCTACAGTATTTGGAAATCCAACATTCTTATTGTAACTTTTGTATTTGTGTACTTTTCCATAAATAAACATTATTATTATTTTAATTACTATGTTTTGAAACATTCAATTTGGAGGATATTGGTCCAGACGATTTCTTCAGGTCAGATGTAATACAAACAAGGAGCAACAGTTTCAAGCTCGACAAGCCACAATGTACGACTGAAAATGGGAGATGCTTTTACGCCCATAGGGCTATAAACCCATGGAACCGCCTACCCACCGAAGCAGTACATGCCAAAAACTTTTAAATTGTTTAATCCATCTGGAAATAATCATCAGGGCAAATGGGAGGGGGGAGGGCCTTTGAAAAACTCCCAGCTTCCTGTTATCGAACCACTGGAGTGTTAGTGGCCCCGGGGTAAATTCAGGTAATTCTAGTCCTCAAAAGCGATAAGCGATTTGTGAACGCCAGCTAGCGGACAAGAGCGCCCAAAATACTTAATAATAATTCACTTTTTTGTAACTTATCTACTGTTGCCCACTGGCAGCAATGATCACAATGGTAAAGATGCTCAGATTGGGTGCATAAAGATTGGGAGACTGGGTAGCAATAGATACAGATAAACAAGATTAATAAACACCATACAGCAGATTGGCAGTACATATAAGAAGACAGCAATGATCACAATGGTAAAGATGTTCAAATTGGGAACATAAAGGTTGGGAGATTGGGTAGCAATAGATACAGTGCAATTTTAAGGCAGAAGGTGAAAAACTATGAAGATGAAATTAGGTACTTTTTAGTATACTTTTAGGTACTTTTTACTATATCAATTGTGACACTAGTTCTCCACATATGTCAGTTGCTTAATTTTGAAACTGTACTTGTGATCGGTATTGAACCCATTATTGATGTGACTAATGTGCATTGAATTTTGTAACTATCTCTAAGACTAAGCTAAATGAATTGTGAGGTTTCATTCCCTGAGCCCATTATATGCCTCTGTAACCTTTTCCATTACTGCCCACAGAATGTGTATGGGGTGCATAATAAATGAACTAAACCCATTGTTGGGTTTATACCCAAACACAAGACATGGGGAGACAGATGTGTGGTTTCTGAAGTTTTTATTCATTAATATTACATATTAGGCATTTACCTTTAATAAATATTGTATACAGGTATAACTATAACACAATAAATGGAATTTGTAATTGGAGTTTACCCAAAAACTTGCCACAATTTCAAACTTGTTTGTAGGAATTTCGATGAACTCGCCTAGTTAAGCTTCAGCTCTTTGGCCCCGCCTCTTGACTCAATCTACCAGTGTACAGGTTCCTGATGTCATTGAGCTCTTTGATATCTACATTTGAAACTGAGTTTGCCTCCACCACATCACTTCCTAATGCATTCCTTTTTTTATTAATTTCTCTGATACTGAAAAAGTTCATTATAATGTCTCTGGCTCATTTGGGCAATCAGCTTCCACCTATGTCCCCTTGTGCGAGTACCGTGTTGATTGTTGAAGATTAAATCTTACCAAGAGGTTGCACGGACATGAATAGCCCATAAAATACCGTGTTAAACAATACGTCCATATCTTCTCTGTCATTCCAGAGACATTTTGTATGTGGTGATCATGTCTCAACGAGCTCTTGTGTTCCAGTGACGTGAGACGCAATTCACATAGCATTTCTGAGTAACTCATGCCTCTTAGTTCTGGAACTAGTCTAGTGGCATACCTCTGAGCTTTCTCCATCTTCTTGTAGTTTACAAGATACGGGCTCCATGCTGGAGCTGCATATTCTGACAGTGTGAGCCGTGTAGGAGCAGCATGGTCTTACATATGTGGTGTACAAAGTTCTGAATGATTCTTTACACATAATTTTTATTCAGGTAAAAGTACATACATACAAAATGAGTTACAAACAGAATGTTACTAGATATAGCTAGTATACTTTGCCTAAAGTCAGGCTTAGCTCGTATGAAAATCTGTTATTATTTAGTAACGTTTAATTTATCTGTTGCATTGCGGCAGGTATTTTCTCTTGATTCCATGTATGACTAACCATCCTGTGAAATGGGGTTTATTAAATAACCTTATAGCTAGTTTTTTTATCTACACTTTTTGTGTTTATTTTACATCAATAAACTTATTTCAATTTCAATATGTACACTAATCTTTCATATAGAATAGGGTAGCAGCATATTGCTCTGTGTAGCTAAATTTGTTAAAAAAAACGCCTAAAACCACGAAGCATAGCATCTAAAACCATCTAAAAATTCTAAAGGCAATCTGATGTGGTTCTCTCCTAAATACTCCTAAGTATTTACATGTATACGTCTAAAGTATATACACCGGCGGCCGCTGTTCCTATGAACCCTGGATTTGTCTTTACATATCACTCAACTTTATTTAATAATAACCATATGCCTATTAAGTAGAAGATTTTAACTGCTAACAGCATTATATTTTGGTTTTAATATTGACCAATCATATATATATTATATACGAAACGTTATATACGAAACGTACAAATGTTGTGCTGGAAATGGTAAATATGTGTGCGAGCCGTCTTCTGCTGCCACCTGCCTGTATCCTGTGGCATACATCGTTACACGTCTCTACACATCTGTAACCTGCTGTAACCTGCTTTAGGCTTTTGTATTGTGGGGCCGCTGTACCAATCGCCAAGATTTTTATCACGCTAATTAGAAGGATGAAGCTTATTACCCACAATATGCTGACCAGCAAAGGCATTAAAAATGTGAAGGAAGGATTCCCCCTAAAGATTCAGGTAAAGTAGAAGAGTCACTAAACTACTATAATAATAATAATAATAATAATAATAATTCATTGTGGACAGATAGGCAGCCAGTGTATTGATACATGTTAGGCTTTTATGTATAGATAGGTCTGACCACCTATAGAATGTAACCCCATAACAAGCTGACTTAACTCCTGAGTACATACTGTTAGATGAACAGATGCATTAGGTGATAGGAAATGCGCTCAACCATTTCTGTCCCGCCTGGGATTCGAACCCAGAATTCTCGATTGGGAGTAGAGAACGAACCCGAGTGTACTACTGGGACCCTAATAATACCTTAATGTTCCATAATGGTATGGTTTTGTAGTGCTAGGAGGCCTAGCTTTTAGGTTTATTGTGGTCAGCCCAGGCCGATGATTGTCCTTCACCAGGATGCAGCCCTCACCAGTTGTATAACTCTTAGGTATCTTTTTTTTTCTGCTAGGTGAACAGAGGAATCAGGTAAGCATAAATGGATACAAGTCACATCGAACACAACGATTCGCCAGGGGATTTTGAAACCTACTTAACCTAACCTATCTCAACCTAACCTAACTGAACTGAACCCAATACTTCCTAACCTAAGTTAACACAGCCTAGCATAGCAATGTATACGGTGTTAGCAAACTTAAAACGAGCTTCATTGAATCGTCTCGTGTTCGAAAGGACCATACCCCACATACACATGACCAAATGTCCTTAGGGACATGGGTATGGTCAAATAGTATGCTTGTGTTTTGACGAAGCTTGTTTTCTAATTGTAAAAACTATACTTCATTAAGTTAGGCTGCATTATCCTAGATTACATGTGGTTAAGCTAAATGACATAATGGATAATGTTAGATACATTTTAAAATCTGTTCGCAAATCAGTCGGCTGTTCTTCAGCTCTAGAACTGGCTGGTCAGGGAAGCCAACCACAGCCTGGGGCTGGGCCTCCTAGTGGCAGTGATAAGTACTAATGAGTTTCGAGCTAGTTTGAGTGAATCCCGTGTTTTGCATTAATCATTTGTGGAATTGTTTGATGGTTTCATGGCTTCATTTTCTGCGAACCTTCATGTTATCTGTAAAGCTTCTGTGACTTTCTGTATCCTTTTACCAGTGGGGTGACAAATTGTCACTCATTCCCTGTGCCTCTCTGAGGGGGGCCAGGTTCTGGCTCTGGTCCCAGGTAGGCCAAGCAGAACTAATGTGACTTTTAATATGGAGCAATCTCAGCAAAATACTGTACTGCAGCTTCAGGGAGCCACTGTAGCTCAACCAAAAAAATAAAAAAAAGAGGCATTTCATTATATTCAGTGCTGGGTTTTTGTGTTTAAAAGGATGTTTGATATGTTTTTTTTTTTTTTTTTTTTTTTTTTTTTAAGAATGGAATTGGAAATGGTAATTATCTACTGTATGTTAGTGGCTTTGTGACATTTTAACATTTACTCACTAAACTTGTGAAAATATCGATTTTGCTTACAGGTACAGTATCAGGTACAGTACCTGTAAATATTTAAGTAAAAACAAAATATGCTTAATGTATTTCATTTTTTTGATGAATGACCCCCATAACAAAATGTTCTTTCATTTTTGTAGGCAGATGAAGTGAGAAATGTGGACATCGACTTCGACCGAGAATTTATATGCAGAATGGTTCCTAAACTGGACTGGAATGCACTTACATTTGCTGCACAATGTGTAAGTTATTATCTGTGCCAAATTTGACTTTATGATGCCCAATGAAATCACTTTAACGTGATGTATCAATGAGAAAATTGGACCGTGTCATGGTGTAGTGGTCTAGGGCACTATTTTGGGAGTACCAAGTGAGTGGGTTAGAATCCTCCTTAAGGCTCCTAATGATTTTCTCAATGATTTTATGATTTTTTTGTTTCCACTCATACTAGAAGTGAGAGTAATTGTCTTTATTTGCCTTCTTGTAGTATAGGGACACATTTCACAATTTGAAATTACCTTCTGGTATAAAGATATGACAGACGATTATTTTTAGCTCGGCTTCTTGTTGACATTAGACCAGGAGACTTGACAGGAAGTGCAAAATAGCCCTTTTGAAAAGCAGAGGTGCAATAGGTATGCTGAGAGAGAACTCTTTTAACATCAAAGGCCCAAGACTTTTCAACACTCCCTCTAAACCATAAGGTGCATAACTGGCCGACCTCTCATGGTGTTCAAAAGTTCAAAATAGAACTTGATAAACACCTCCAAAAGATAGCTGATCAACAAGGCTGTGATTCATACATCAGGCTGGAACATCTGTGTCCAACTGTTTGGTTGGCCATACCCAAGACTGGTCTGTTGGAACGTGAACCACAAAACCAACTCAAGGTAACTGCAAAGTATGGGTGCAAGACCTGAATATGCCTCGCTGAGTTGGCCCTCACCGTGGATGGTCTGATTCGGGTAGGTGTTCACTTGATCAAAATTAATTTTGGTTAAGAAAATCCTTTGATGCATAATTAAGCAAAAGGACTCTCTCAGGTCCTTGCTATATTAATAATTGTGTGTGACTTAATTGGCTAATATTTGAGACTTTTCTCCGAGCTGGGTGCACTGCAATGTACCTCAGGATGCTCTGCAATATACATTAGGATGCTCTGCAATATACCACACATGTCAGCTGTGGAAAACTAATCTCTCACACTGACAAAGCCTTAAGAGTACTGAAAGAACACCTACATTTCTTTTCTATGCAACAGTTTTATCAACCTGATTGATCTGTGCATGCACTGTAATTACCTCTGCTTTGATTCTTAAATAGGGTATTGAATGATGCTCTTTAACAGGATGCTTACTGATCTTGTAGGATGCTAAATGATATTCTTCATTAGGGTGCAGAATGATGTTCTTTAATAGGATGCTGAATGGTTATCTCTGTTAAATGATACTGTATATATTCTCAAGTATAGGATTAGACATTAACAATATTGACTTTATTTCTAATAAATTTTTAGGTGGGTCACCAGGAGGACTTGCCTGAAAAGTTACCTGAAGGATACGAAGATGACGACGAGCTGCTGAAGAAACTGCATCACATTCTTCTGGAAGTAAGATTTTCTTTATAAAATTATTGGGGGGGGGGGTTATCCAGCATTGCCTGGGTCTGTCTATATCCCATCTGTCTATCGATCCATCCATCTATCATAAGATTCATAACTACTGTGGGTGCACAGGACTCACATCCTGTTCCTCAGGATGCCGGTAAACAGACACCATCTTATGGATAATGACTAGATAATTGTAAGTGATTAACTTTTTTGCAATCACTATAAAATGTTTGATGTATTCTTCAGTGTCTTATTTCTTTGGGGAACATCATTTAAAACCTTGAGCCCTGCACTGTGCCACTGTTTATAGATAATAACTGCCAGGTGTGCAAGAAAAAAATACAAAAAATCATTGCAATATTATTAAAATACTTTCCTTTGGCCATGGTGAAACACACAAATATCATGGTGACATCCAGTTCACAAGCAATCACGAAGCGATTGCTCTGTGGCGGTCACCCCACCCCTACTGTAGGGGCTGGAATTGCTGTAGATATTTTTAAACATTTATTTCAATGTCTCTGATTTTTTGCAGCAATATTATTCAGTAATGTGTCATTTGAAAAATTTATATAATGTGTGGAACATAGAGATGCTCAAACATATTCATATCACTAATTCGTGCACAATATAATATTCATAGAACAATAAAACGTACTGTTTTTGTTGTTATTACATTATACAGTGTATAGACGTTATATGTAACTTCTACATTTTCTTGCACCATTACAAGCCACTAAACACTTCTGATGGGTGTAATAATCTCGTAACCCATTATCAGGTTTCAGCCTAGCCATGAATGTTTTTCAAGACATTGTAACAACATAGAATGATTATCTGATTTCTAATGTATTTCTAATGTTTTACTATTGATTTTTAAGTGCAATGATGCATTGGGTCATAATTTAATATTATTTGTATTGCTTTGTCACTTTATGGACTCCCTTTGTGTACAAGGATTCTGCTACACTTCTGGGGTTAATCTTTAACACTCGTTTGTCTTGGTCAACCCATATCTCTTACGCTGAATGCTCTAAGGCCCTCTTCCTCCTTAAGGTTTTGTTCCATACTTCTTGGGGGTGGATAGGCATACGCTCCTCTCCTTACATTCCTCACTTGTCCTGTCTAAACTTGATTATGGTTGCCCTGCTTACTCATCCGCTTCTCCTTCTACTCTTCGCTGTCTTGATGCTTTGCACCATGCTGGGTTGCGCCTCAGCTCTGGTGCCTTTCGTTCGACTCCCACCCTCAGCTTGTATGTTGACACTGGATTCCTATCTCTGGGACCGCCTTGATCACTACTGTCTTCGCTATTTGGCGGGGTCCTTGCATCATCCTTCCTCTCGCCTCTGCCGTGCTTTGACTTACCTCTCCTGTAGTACCTGTTCCTCTTCACCACCTCCCTCTTTCTGTCCGGCTATCTCACTTACAGGACTCCCTTTCCATTCGTCTTTCTCATATTACTCCTCGTATTGTTCCTTCCTTGCCCCTGTGCTGGGTTCCCATTCCGAAGGGGAAGAATTCCGAAGGGCCATCTGTTATTGTCTGCATTCACCATACCAGCTCAGTGGTTCTCTATGATGAACACAAATGTAGATACTTGTATATAATGTGTGTATTAGTGTGTAACAAACTAGGCTGTTGTAAGAATTATCCAGAGTGGTTTATCGACAAAAGAGAATGGGAAGCTGAGCCGCATGGTGACCTGACCCCCAGGGGAATTCGCGGTGGAAATAACCGACGCTTTGTTCATATCTGCGTATAATGAATCATCCTATAGTATTCAGGAATTTAGAGAAAATTAGCCTTTATTCATTTTGCATTAAAATTGTATTGTATAATAGTACTGGATACAATATCAAGAGTATTCTAATTATTGAGTTTAAGTCACCATCAGTGACGTCACGAATCAGATCTAACTTTTGAGGCGGAGTGACCGGCGGTCATAGGTCAGCAGGGTTGACATGTCTAATATTTCTCAAAGTTTTAATAACCATTTTTGTGATCGGGAACAGCTCTGCCGTTAGATGTTTGTAATTTAATTCAGTAAAATAATTCAACCAGTCTGGATCAATTAAGTACAACAGAGGTTAATTGTTATAACTTAAACCTTGCTAAAGTAACTGGGTAGAACTTTGACTAGGCGGAAGGATACAAGGTTCTAGTCTGGGCTAGGCCAGACGAGGACAAAGCAGTGTGGATACGGGAGCAGCTGGGAGAGGTCAAACATCTTACCTCTCCCCAAGACCACCCAACACCTAGAGCTGTGGTCGCCCAAGGTATAGTTGCTATTGGAAATTATAGGGATAGTCTTCTCATTTGCCATTCAGGTCAAGTAGGGAGTGTTAAAGTGATAGGGAGTGAACATATTTAGATTTTGTTTTAGTTTTCTTTTAATAAATTAAATTTGTTATTAATTTGCATTTTATTGTTTCCATGTGTTTTATGTGTATACTTGTCCTGGTCACGTGGTCCACACGAGGCAGAGTTGCATTGGGCGCCGATTCTAACATCGAATCGGAATTATCATTACCGTGTAATTTATTCCACACTCAAGGTCATCGTTTATAGTGGGGATCAAGCCCCTAGGTTGATTAATTAGCGTGATCGATCCAGACCTCGATCATTGCTCTTGTATTACTGGTCTGGTGGTGGCAGCAGAGGTGACTCTAGGGTTTTGTTCAGAGCTTAGGTCACGTCATACTGGGTGTAGAATCCTAAGTCGGTCAATCGTCTTAGGACCACGTGGCGTGGAGTTGGCTTTGGTAAAAGTTTTGGAGTCCCTTGGTAGAGAATAATAAGTAAGAATACGGGTAGAGGGAGTAGAAAGAAGGAAGTAAAGAGAGAGGAACCCAAACCCGTGTTACAAGTGTAATAACAGCAGAAGGATTATGTTGGGAGGAGCCATTTCGGTGACGGAGGTGGCATCATCTGTATGACTTGTTTGGCTGTGTGGAGGGTGGCCACTATGCTCTTTGGGAACCCTACAAGCTTAGGTGTACAGTTACAGTGCATACAACATGTAGATATTTATATATAATGTGGGTATATAGTGTAATAACAATGCAAACAGTATTGTTGGGGGAGATAGTTTAGTGCGTGTGACCTTGAATGAGTGAGGGAGGCAGCCGCCAGCTAACTGTGTGTAGTGACAACTCTTAGTGCCTGAACTAACTATATCAGCTTAGTTGTACAGTTGTGTTCAACAAAACATCTAGATACTTATATATAACGTCTGTATATAGTGAATAAAATAAAAAACAGGATGGTGGGAGGAGAAAGTTGGCAAGTGAGGCGTTGTTGAGGGAGTGGCAACGAGTGGCTGGCTGGTGTGTTGCTTGTTGCTTTTCGACTCTCAATACCCACTTAGTGGTTCGTTATGGTGAACAAAACATGCAGATACTTATATATAACCTGTGTATTGAGTGTAATAACAGCAAAACTATTTGTTTATTGTTTTATGAACATAATAATTGAATCACTAATATGTACACCATACTTTTGAGTATAGCGATGATTTACCCCTTTTATTATATAAATATATCACAATACACACTATTGAATAATATTGCTGCAAAAAAAACTAAGACAAAATCAGAGATATTGAAATAATTAGGTACTTACATCTTTGTGGCAACTCCCACCTGTCAACTCGGGTGACGCTGACCGGCTCTGACGACCACTCTGTCAATGCCCACTTTTTGCCAGACTTCCTCGGCCTATTGCGCCCAAAATGTCACCAAAATGTGTTCAGGGAACACAAATTAACATTTTTAGAAGACGAAATAATTTTTTAGAATTTTTTTCTTGCACACAGAGGTGTAAATCTCCTCAGGACCCCTTAGCAGCTTAAGGGTTAACTGTAGCCTCTGTTTACCCAACAGTAAAATGGGTACCTGATTGTTAGATGATTTGGAGGGTCGTATTCTGGGAAATATTAGGATTAAGGTCTTGCCCGAAACGATATGCGTACTAGGGGTTATACAAGAATATAGGAATTCTTGTATATACAAATAAATAAACAAATAAATAAAAAAGCATTGAGTAAATTGATATCTAAACTCTGTACATAGAATTTATCATTGGTAAATAATTGCAGTTACTTATTTCATTATTACTGCATTAAGTGATGCTGTGGTCACATGCTGCATAGCTCTGCTATGAGCAGCTGCTGCTGCTGCATGCACTGTTCATAGTTGCCTTCTCGGTACTGAAGCTCTCACCCTGGAGGGGTGCCCACAATTTCTTTTTTCAAGATGGCATTTGTTTACTGGAGGCCTTGGTGCTACATAGTCTTCCCAGCTTGGTGCCGCCTTTTGATAATTATTTGTTTACTGGAGGCCTGAGGAAGCAGATGTAAGCCCTGAGTAAATGTGCAACTTTAAAATCTTATATGGTACAGTACTTTAAAACAGCCCCAGCCGTGTCACGCAATTTGCGGATAATGAGTGTGATCAACTCCAGCCTGTTACACAGTTGAAGGGTTAAATGGATGTTATATGTAAAGTATATAATAATAATTCAATTTGTCGGGGGACAGGAAGCCAGAGTGTATTCATACACATTTTGGCTTTTATCAAGTTCTGGGATTCGAACCCGGAATTCTCGATTGTGCGTCGAGAATAAACCCGACTGTACTACCGGGACCCTCTGTGTGTATAACCTCTCCCAAATATTGCATCCATCAAAATGTCTTCAGACTTCTTTGGGCTGTCAAATAATTGCTAAAATGTTGTGCATTCTGCTTTAGCTGTAAGTTACGAGAAGGCTTTGCCACTTGGTTAAAACCACAAGTAGAATTATGTAAACAAAACTCAAGATTGCCTTGGGAAATATATAAATGAGAAAATAGAGAGAAGCAAAAAATGCAATGGTATTAGATAGGGATAAAAATACACAATGAGAAGAGGCAAATTATTAAAGAAAATATGTATTGGTTGATAGCGTATCACAACACTAATTGGTGCCAAAGTGCAAGTGCTTTCCAGTACATCTCATGTACTGTTTTCATCAACACCAAGGCAAACTAATTGATTTCATAAATTTAGCGCGATATGCTGTATAAAAGGGAATTGTTTCCTTAAACAATAAGTACCAAGTATCAATTCTTTGACATGCCTCATCTTGTCTTGTCTTGTGTATTTTTGCTCTAGTATTGGCATTCTGATCAATATTTAGCACCTTTTAAATATCCCATGACACGAGGGGTGCAAAGTAGTCTTCCTGGCTTGGTGCCTTCTTTTTATAAATTAATTGCTTATTGTTTAATTGCATTTTCGTTTCACAGGTGGAAGTCATCAACGGATGCCTTGAATGTCCAGAAACACAGAGAAAGTTTCCTATCAGCAATGGAATACCGAATATGCTACTAAATGAAGACGAAGTGTAGTACATACTGTATTATTATAATAACGAACTGATACTTTTAATAAAAGTGCAAACTTTTCTTGTGTGAATTCATATTCCGAGATCTGGGAATGAAAAATCTTATCCAAGAGATACGGTCATTGAGTTTTTTTTTTTTCGATAATATGGCGAAGAGAATTGAAACAATATTTATTGCTTTATTTTGTGGCTTTATTTTGATTATATTGTGATTGAATATCTTATTTTCATTTGTATACTGTAGTTAATATATTTAGTTGTGTTATAATATTTTAGTTGATTTGTAATATTGATGATACTCTAGAAAGCTATTATAGTTTTTGTAACCATTGCACAAAACCCACTTGGAAAAACTCTCGATAGAAACTTAAATTTGATACGTACAATACTCAAGTAGTTTTTCCACACTAAAGTTTCTGCTGTGTTACTTTAACATTGGAAAGGTTATCAAAGAGTTTTATTGTCTTTTGTTTTCATGTAATACATACACACCTTACAACTCATTATCCTTCAATACACTGTATAATACAATGGGTATCTTACAGTACACCGAAGCCTCTTATCATGACACTATGAAAACCTTAAACTCGGATTGAGATGATAAATTATAGATTTTTAATACGTAATTTTTTGGGGGTCTTGTTCTTCCATGGAAACTGAAAAGTTGCATTAGTTCATGTTCATTTAATTCTTTTTGTCATTTTATTGTGTTCTTCATCAATTCCAAGTAATTAATATTTTGTAATGTATTGTTCATAGCTGCTCTATTGTGATCCTTATGTTTCCTGGGCTACTTTTTTGTTATTTATTTCATCAGCCTTTCACATACACACCTTATGGCACTCAACGGATTAATGCTATTTACATGATCTACTTTGCCACTTCTAGTACAGTGATCATAGCTTTGAATTTCTGATGAACCAGCTACATGTTGCTCTCGGGGAGTGCGTTGGCCGAGTTCATTGTATCCTGGAGCGAGCACAGTGCTGCCACCTAGTGGCATGTCTTAACAACCAGCTGGTTGTTAGTCCTCAGCCTTTGGAAAAGACGAATTTTATGGATTGACATCTGGTCATTTCCAGGCTGGATTTATTTATTTCTAGTGACTCGAGACAATATTATTCTGTACAGATGCTTAAAAATTCTTGTTGGTCCGTGCTGTGTGCCGCCCCTGCCTAATGTGTTGTTCAAGGAATGTTCAAGGACACGGTGAGATCTTACTTGAAGGAGCAACTGAATTATATGCATTAGAAATTATCTTTTATTTGAACTTGGAGCCTTGTTATTTAAATTATCATAATATATATAATTTTATATATATTATGATAATTATATACAATTATATACAATTATAATTGTATTTATAAGAATAAAAATACAATTATATTACACAATTATATACAATTATAATTGTATTTATAAGAATAAAATATGAATTATATATAATTATTGATACTGCAATTAAAATAACTGGATTTGCTATTTTCTCCTTTTAGCTCAGCCACCTGAACAGGTTGATACAGCAGTCCTTGTTTCTGGTAGGTCGGTATTCAATTCCACTTGATCTAAGTGGTTGGGCACCATTCTTTCCATACTACCCCACATTCATGTCTTCATATTCCCATCCAAATGCTGTGCAGTCACACAAGCTTAGTACTTTCTCTTCATAATTACCTGCCTACCTTTTCTTTTATGGCTAGTGCAGAAGTTGGGTTTTTTGTGGCCCAGGAGTTTGCCATCACTTTGAATGTAAACTTTTGAGTTGTTGGCCAGTTAGACGAATTACAGTGTATTAATACCTTGATGTAGGCCGAACGAACAACTGTTGTTTTGAACCAGCTACAAAGATTTACGGGGCTCATTTGAGTCATTGAAATTAAAGTTTTAAAAAAGTTCTACAAGCTTCCATCTTCCTGACTCATAGCTAACAAGATCACATAATTACAAATTTGCATTTAGACTTTTTTTATTGAATTTTTGTCTCAGTAGGATACATTGCTTCAAAATGGGAAGGTAAGTACCAAAATTATCCATTTCAGGCTACTAAACTCAAACACAATTTTAAGAATATGTATCTGATGTGTTTAGTGTACTTCACGACTGTAAGTTCCTACATCTTTGATCTGTTTAGCCAAACTATCAGAAATTTATAAGAAACTTTAATTAAAGTATTGTAATAGTAGTAATCTGTAGTATCTTTATCCTTAGATGCCCGGTTGACATTGTCAGAAGTATTTGTGTTAGGTTGCATTTTTATTGATACTGGTGACTATGATCGAACTACTGTATTGAAATTTCATAATTTGTTAGGTGTTAAGAGAAAGAAGGTTGTGTTGACCATTAAAGACAAGTTACGTGTCATTGAATAAGTGAAAATGGCCAGTCAGCTGTGAGTGTTGTAAAAGATTTTGGTATAGGGACAAGTACTGTCTGATATAAGGGAACACAAAGATGAATACTGTACCTGAAATGTCTACCAACCAGCGAGAGTGAGGGGTACAAGCACTAGCAGAGGGTGTAATAGAAAAACTTTGTTGCCTGCACAGAATATGCAGATGAATGAGGCTATATATATATATATATCAGTGGTTTGCACAGCACTGTACAGTTTGAGACAATTTGCGGGGCAGAAATCGGAAATGCTGCAAGCAGGTTTGCAGTTGACCGTGGAATACAGATGTTCAAGGTAAGTGATGGTTGGATTTCGTGGTTCAAAGCGAGGCACAATATTGTGCCTCACTTTAATGTATTTCAACATTGAAAAGTGTAGCCTCACCAGGAAGCCAAGAACCTGGTGCCTTCTTTTGACACTTCTTTACATCACCCAGTGACACTTCAGCTGCTGGCAGTCAAAACTGACTTGGCCAAGAAGACAAGGTAAGCTAAAGTTTGTTTTAAATTATATTTTTGATTTACAGTGTGTGGACATTTAAATTACATTGGTTGTAGTAGAAACACTTGCAATATTTATTTTTTAATTTTCCCAGTAAGAATTCCTGCTTATTCGGATGTCTGGCTTATCCAGTGAGGGCTCCTACCCATATAGTCTGGATAAGTGAGAGTAGTCAGTACTGTATTAAAATTTCTTAAATCTCTATCTTTGGAGGCTAAGTGGAGCTTTGTTTATTTTATGTTTAGTGTTGACCAAACCACAATGTTTAGTGTTATTATTTATAAACTGCTATTGGAGATTCTAGTGTTAAAGACAATTGTCTTGCAACACAACAATGATCAAATTGTGTACAGTATCTTTATCACTGTGCCAGAATCACCACTAAAACCTATTTCAGTACTGCATTCACTTACAAGCTGGCAGAAATGCACATTAAATAGGTACTGTACAGCATACATTAAGTTGACATCAATTAAATGGGTCTATATGCCATAATATACAAATGTAATTAAAAATATTTCTGTAATATGTTTTAACTGCAAACTCTTAAGGAATAAATGCTTGTAATACTAATACACGGTAACAAATTGTAACCATTTTATGTAATTTGTGAATTTTCATAGGACTATTTTTAAACATGATTGCCATTGCTGTTCCAAAATTTGTACTAGTATTGTCATTTCATAATCTCGCATCTTTACTATTTTCTGTCAGTTTAAAATTTAATATTTATCAATAATCAGCAGAAAATGTTACATTTTCAATTACTTTACAGTTCACTGCATGAAGATCCCTTGTACTATTGCAACTTATTTCCATATTTTCTTGTATTTTTAACTAGCAAATTTTTACTACATATCTGAATGTATCTCAGTCCTCTCAGGTTATTACTTAGCTTTAATAAAAATTCTGTGCACACTTAGTGGCCTCATTAATACATTATTCACTACATTGCTCGCTATGTAAACTCTAATGGCAAAATATATTATTGCTGCAAGAGAAAGTAGGGATAATGTGAAAAAACATTCAGGAAATGGCTGGGTACAGAGCTGAGTTACATCAGTTTGTATTGTACTGCATGCCTGTTCTTATAAAATGGTGGGGTGTGGCTATGGATTAGCTTTTTCGTGGTTAGTGTAACGGATAACTTGCCCCCTTTTTTTTTTTGTTTTTAAATCGCTAAAATTGTGTCCACACCCATATCAATAATGCTTATTATTATTATCTTTAGTTTATTACACGGTATACTGGTATTCATTCAAAAAGAGTCCATAATTGGTTATCTAATATCATCATTGTTAGAATGGTTGGAATTTTGTCTATCATATAAAATCTTTAGCCACCCAAAGCACTTTCAGTATAGTAAAACAACTGAACAAAGCAGCCTCAGATACCTGGAAAATAAATTATATTGTACAAATTTAGTTGGTAACATTGGCCAGAATTTTTTTTTTTTTTTTAACAAAAAAATTAAGGTGAAATCAAATTCTAAAGAAGATACATTTTTTTTTTATTTTATAAAATATCTCAAAGTTAAATCTTGATGGTAAGCCGATTATAATTAGGACTTCAAAACAGTCGCGATGTAGTGGCTATCCTTACCCCTATCACGGTCATTACTGATACTGCACAACATAGAGCAGAGATCATCATCTCCACTTTATGGGTTAGTAGTTGAATATTTCTAGGGCACAGTTAATGCAGCACTTAAAAAGATTTTGATGCTACTTACAAGTACGTGCCTGTTAATTACAAGCACAAAGATGAATTTGTTTAATATTGTACAATGATCATTTAGGTAACTAAGGAATATTTATCCTCTTAGAAATAAAAAACATTAGAGATTAACAGTGAACATTATTTGAAAAAAAAGTTTTGGCAGGTAGAGTAATACAATTTTGATTCAAAACGGTTCAATTTACAAATACAGTACTAGCATTATATTGATAGTGCTCCTTATTTACTATCAAACATATAAAAAGTCTGCCCCTTTTCACAACAGTAGTAAATAACTTAACATTTCTACTCTCAAATTATAGTGTACTTAGAGAGAAAACAGCAGTATGCTTAACAGACTATCCTCACCAATGTCACAACCCACTACTTTCCCCTCCCCCACTTAATGATAGTTTATATATACAAAACAGTGGGGATGTCAACAGTAGCACAACTGAACAAGTATCAGTCAACTCACATTCCTGGTTTTGCATCACAATTAAGGAAAATAATAAAATCCCTAGGGTTGTGGAGATCTGGACAGTTGTAACATTCCTGCAGCATACAGCATGAATGACACACAATACAGACACAGTATGGGATCATACAGTATACCAGAATGATAACCAAGCCCTAATCCTATATAGCGAAACTGTGCAAAGCTAAATTTGCTATTTTTTACGTTAGTTTTTTAGCCTTTTGGTACAAGACATCTACAACCTTTTCCATTGCCTTAATAGTATCAAGAGCATGCTCATAGGTTTTGTCCTTGGTAACAGGGTCCCAAACAATCAACACCCCAGCTCCTTGATCTAAAATACCAGTCAATTTGGAGTCCAAGATCATCTGAGAGAGTTTACGCTCAACAGCATCCTGCTGTAGACCTATAGTTTCGCTGACGTAGGCTACCTGCACCTTACTATAGGGCTCAATGATTCTAGACAAATTTTGCTCCAACATATTGTCATATAGGGTGTTTAAGTGAGCTTTCACTATCATGTCTCCTTCTAGTTCTTCCTTGTAATTATTGAGTGTTGTTTTGAAGTCAGCCAGAGAGCGCTTACTACTAGCAGAAGCAATGCCCTTCATTGCATCCACATGACTGCCACTGTGCCGCAGCGCCAATTTCCCACTTACAATATTGTGGACATCCTCTGGATGTTGTAGCATGATTTTTGACAACAACATATATTTTAGTGCAGTAAGTGCCTTAGGGCTATCAATACTGTCATATCCTTCAAATGCTTCATAAAAATATGAAAAAGCAGTTTTGAAATCCTTTTCTTCAGCAGCATGAAGAATACCAGATTGCAAATCAAGAGCCGCTTGAAGTTTAGGTGGACAATATATAGCATTTGCTGTTGTGCGTGCTGAAGTTAAGGCAGCACGAGCTTTAGGTAAGTTACCCAATGCGTGATATGTTTTACTTTCCCACAGTTGAACTTCCACCAGGAGGTTTTTGTCATCTAATTTTTTAAGTTCTTTTAATAACTGAGAACCTAAGGCAAGGGCTTCTGTGTACTGTTGTGTGTCATAAAAAAGTGCTACCAATCTGGCCTCCAGTGATTGGCGCAAGAATGTGCGTCGTTCAATTTTTGACCATTCAATGTTGTCCCTGCATACTTCAACTTCTAAACCTGTTGTAGCTTCCATGTCAAGGAACATATCTACCATTGTCCGCACTAGCTTTGCAGCTTTGGCTTTAGAGATCTGAGCAAGAAAGGGTCGAGTGTCCTTGATGAGTTGAGCCAACTGGTGGGCCTGGCCTGCTTTCTTGTACTGCTCAGCCAGTGACAAGATGCCTGCCTCTCTTGTGGCCACATCATCTTCCTCCTCGGAGTCTGTGAAGGAATTGCACCGTTAGCAAAAAAAAAAAAAAATAAGCACTTTACAGTTTTACTATTACTGTACTACCAATTTGTCATAATTATGGATAAAATACAAAATTATTAGGTAAGTGACCCAAAATTTAAAAGACTAATTTCAGTACTGTACTAATACAGTACTGTTCAATCAATGGGATCTAGAGAAAGATTACCTGTGCAAATAAATCTACAAGTGGGGAGGCTTGCAGGAATGCGATCTTCTGACCCCAGGTACTGGGAGGCAACACCAGAAGCCTTCTGTGTACTGGTAACTGTGCAGGTGTTGTGTGAATGGCGGCCTCAACCCAATAGTGTAACACAAGAGGGAGTGACAAGAAATCCCAAGAGAGAAGACAGGTGACCAAGTAGGGGCCATCAAATTTTTATAGACCTGGTCAGGCCAGGAGGATTAGAGTGATATAAGACAGTTGGCACCAAAGGGGGGTTACAACACCCAGGGTCTCAACCCAGGGGTAGAAGTTATGGAATAGCGGCACAAACAAGCCAGTATGTGCTAACCTATGGCATCTGGGTAATTAAATGCTATATAGTACAGATGTACAGAGATCACAGAAGTAGCTTTGGCTAGGTGGTTGTTGGTGTAGACGGTGTGGTGGCTGTGGGGTGATTGAAGACATGGAACACGAACACAGCCTCTAGCTGTATTTCTATTAAGTTAAAGATACCATGTAATTAAAATATCCATAAATGGATTTACCAGCAACAGTTGAGGGCACAGGATAAGCAACACTACAAACTAGACATGTCAGGGCTCATCTTGACACACAAAATACCGAACAAGTGGAAGTATATTAACCCATACCATGTTAAAAGGTCAAATGTTCAGCATACAAGGTGGCAACAGCTTCAAACAACAAAACACAATGCAGGACAGAAAACAAGAGATGTTTTTTCACCCACAGAACCACCTACTGAAGCCACAAACGCCAAGATATTTCTTATGCAAGTTCAAAATCTAATTAAAAACAATCCCGAGAAACAATGGAGAGACCTTTGACAAGCCATCAGCTTCCTGTCCCTATCAAGGCCATGAGGGTGATAGTGGCCCTTATATAAATTCAGCTATATCTGTGACCAATGTTTTTCAACATCCAGGTACGTGTCTTACTAGAATCAAGAGGCAAATATTGTACAATTATTTAGTCAAACTAAAGATGTTGACACCTAGGAATGGTAATACCAAGCATAATGTGATATTATGCCTCACCTGTTCACTGAATGGGAAAAATTAACTCCCACATTCTCCTGAGAAACAAACCAAACTAAATAGAAAAACATGCTACATTGAATAGAAAAACTGGATCTCAAATGCTCACTAGTTCCCATGACATACGGCATTGAACATGGGAATATGTCACGGTCTCCGGACATGACTGGTGATTGACGGAGTTTGAAGTCTGCCTCTGGCCATGTATATAAACCGACCTTCAACCACCCCATGATCAATGGGGTTTTACTGTTAACACGTCCATTTTCATCTGCTGAATCAATGCAAACAACCGCCAACCTATATACTGGCCATTACCCACCGATGCTGAATTATTGGGTAAATTAATGTAAGGTTTTTTAACAATAGTTAAGCAAAATTCATTTGCAATTTATGATCTGTTATACAGTATTTTAAGATGTTCAGTAGATCCTTACATTATAAACATACAAAATATGTTTATATCACTAACTTTCTCGGAATTTAGTAAAATATCCATTTGTCTGGACACTGCCTTCAAAAACTTTGCACACCATTAATTTACAATTAATACTGTACCACGGGTATTGTATGCATAGTTTTTTTTTTTTTTTTTGGGGGGGGGACTATTATATTATAGAATGTCTTTCAATTCAAACCATAAGTTTTAAAGTAAACCAATAACATCAATGTGTTCAGAGATTGACAACTTCACCAAATAGCTGAAAGACAATTTTTCAATAATGCATTTGATTACCACTTATTGGCTAGGTTGGGTTATCTCGAGATAATTTCAGGGCTTATCGTCCCCACGACCCAGTCCTCGACCAGGCCTCCTTTTTTGTTACACATCCCCAGGAAGCAGCCCGTAGCAGCTGTCCAACTCCCAGGTACATATTTACTGCTAGGCGAACAGGGGCCTCGGGGGGAAAGAAACATTGCCTATTTGTTTCCGCCTCTACCAGGGATCGAACCTCAGGACTACGAATCCTAAGCGCTGTCCACTCAGCTGTCAGGCCCCAGGGGTCTGGCTTGAGGAATATTGAAAATTATGTTATTCAATGTACATGTTCTGCACAGTGCTGTATGTTCCCAAGAATAATTTAGAGGTTAAAATGTATAATGAATCCATCATTCCAAACCTATCCTAAGATTGGTAGGCACACAAAGCTCTAAATGTGTGTGTGTGTGCAGTACAAGGCCTCATTTTCTGAATACACTACATTTATTTAGCTATTTGTTTAGTTTAGGCTAGCAGCATGATCAAAATCGGGCGACTCGTTGGCAAAGTGTAATAGTCAGACACAACATTTAGCTCGTGCCCTTTCGGGAGGACGTTTAGTAATTAACGACTGTAAAACCACGAAAGGACTAAAGAAAGCTTAACCACACCATATTCCTCCCTCGAGAAAGCTCTCAAAAACAACATCTAGGATACGACACACTTCCTCCTCCTCCAACACCAGCTGACAGTAGCACAATGAATACCGCTTATATCCCCCGTGTCCGGCTGTCACCCGTAACACCCACGCCTTCCTGCCAATTTAATGACCCATTAAGACGCCAGAAATCAACGCCAGGGGATCACAAGACACTTCTCCGGGAACATATGTAACCGCAGGAGGCCAACCTGGCCACCAGAATGAATCAGCAAAGTGACGGAAGGCGGACATAAACATCATATTTCCCCACTTGTAGGAGGCGCTGCCGGTGCCACACGCCCCCGGCCGCCTCCAGGCCCTCACGCCCAGCCTGCCTTACCTATATTATTCAGTGTGGAGGTGTCTATTTCCATTTTAGACAGGGAAATTGCCGGAGCCCTTTCAACGAGGGTAGCAGCAGCCATTGCTTTGACGTAACTGTTGGGGGGAGTAAGCAGACTCGCAGCGGCAAGCGTCTCCCCGCACCTTATCTTCGTCTATATACTACACTATTATCCCATATTCTGGCCCATTACCGTTCCATATATAATAAGACATTATTTCTCATCCTCTTTAATTTATGAGCATGGCTGTTTAAGGACATAAATGGCTATCCCTTTGTTTTAAATAAAGGGAACATGACTCGAGATTTGTTATGGGGCAGTCTTACTAATGCGGTTATTTATAGCGCTCTAACGTGCATCTTTACCTAGTTAATAAAGAAGGGAAATGTAAATTGTTGTTTCATTATCATTGTAGCAATAACGTCTGTTTATATGTTGTACCTAGTAGCCATGCAGTACTCGGCCTACTATGCAAGGCCCGATTTGCCTAATAGGTCAAGTGATTTTTTGGCATATATATATATATATATATATATATATATATATATATATATATATATATATATATATATATATATATATATATATACATTGCTACAGTTTACAGAAAACATACACATATACACATAACAATCACTGTTCGAAGACCTCATCCAGCTCTTCAGAGGTTGGGTACGTGCCCAAGAAACAGCACGCATGTCCTCTCTGGATAGCCACATAGACGTGCTGGAACAGAAAACTGGCCACTCTTGAGTTTTTAGTTTTTCTAATGAGTTCCTCGTCCATCTTCTTTAGGAACTTATGTATTTATACAAGAAGGTATAATGGGTTGTTAGAGTACATAATATTGCTGTTCTTACCCTCTTGCAAAGCCACTAACACGTACAGAGTTTCAGGGAGGTCCTTAATCTAACTGATAAAGTAAAAATAAGAGTATTAATAGGTACATTGCAGTAGAATTTGATTTCAACATGATAATTACCATATAAATTTATAGTATTGATTATACTGGTAAAGTTGCATGACTTATGTACTAAAATTGGGTGAGTGGGTAGCACGAGATACAGTGAGTTTGAAGCGCAATGTAGGAAACTATGAGGATATATTTAGGTACTTTTTCGTTTCACTTTTGAATAAAACATAGGTTAGACAGTTTTTTAATTCATTAGTGAGTGAGTTTCATAAACTGGGTCCTTTTATTTTAAAGTGAAAAGGCATTTTCTGTCCTTCACTATGGCTTGTTGAACACAGTGTTGTGTTCCGAAGCTTGTTAATGGCACTTAACATTGCCAATATTTGCCCCACTTTACGAAGATGACTATAAAACACCAATTTATTTAAATGAGAAATGCATTTTTTCATAAAGAAATTTACAGAAGAAATAACAAAGTACATATACTTTATTTGGTTGTAGTCTCATCATGCATTTGGAAATGCATGCATTCCCATGCATTTGGAAATGCATGCATTCCCATGCATTTGGAAATGCATGCATTCCCATGCATTTGGAAATGCATTAATTGTGAATTAATATAGGAAAATTTTGTATTAGGATAATTGAATAAAGGTCGTTAGGTTCTATTTGCCGTATGTGGATGAAGCATTTATAGAGAGGCGATTCGAGCAGAGGACATGGCGCTGCTCGAGAACAGCAGTACATCTGTCATCAGTTGTGAGTCGTGTGGAAAGTTTTTTCACTCATAAACAGAGGGGTTGGTGGTTTGATTAACGAGCATTGGCCTTTGTTGATGAGAATGGGTTGGCTTTATTTTAACCAATACCTGGTACGCTTTAATATTCGATATGCTTTAGGTTTGTAATCGCGGAGCCCCAAGATTCGAACTTAGGAAGTAAGAGAAGCACAGTTCGAGTTCGAATGTAATATTAGTTGTAAGTCCAGCAGTCTGCAGAGTCCAGCCCGACCTCGTCAACAAAGGGCAGGTAAGTCGTATGTACAAAAAAATCATTCATAAACAAGGGATTTTGTGATTAGATTAAAGAGCTTTTGGGCAATACTTTGATGATGGGCTGGTTGTAGGACAATAGTCCAGTACGAGGATAATGACTGGTGCTTGTTATGTTGGTGAACAAGGCGGTTCTGAAGTACTGTGAATCTTGATCAAAATTGTGTGTAAATATAATAGTTTCCCATTGCTGGGGAGAGGAAGCCTGATAGGTTATACCGACTGACCATGATACAACACACAACTGTTGCCTTACTACCTGGTACCAATTTACTGCCAGGTGAGCAGAGGCATCAGAGACGAGGAGACGTGCCCAAACGTATAGCTTTTGTTATGAGTAAATTTTACTACAGAAGACCTGAAATATTTCCGACTCCAAATAACTATATAACCACAAAATAATTATTATATATTTATATAAAAAGTCTTAGCATTATGTCATAACGTTGACGCAGTAATGTGAATAGTTACAACAACGGTTCATACAGATACTAACTACATAAATGCACACGAACTCAAGCGAGAGAAAGTAAACCCGCCTAGCATTCTAGTCCCGAGGTCTGACCTAATATACCGTCTATTGATTTAACTAACTTTTCAATACTAATGCGAACGGCGCACACCCTCGTCTCGTCCACATCCGGGGACGAGACGACCTCACCCCACCTCCCTGACCTGACCCCACTCCTTAACCTCCCTGACCTGACCCCACTCCTTCGCCTCCCTGACCTGACCCCACTCCTTCGCCTCCTACCCATTATAAGCCTAAGTCTGCGTCTCTCAGAGTTCACAAATCCTTTACAAACGAAGATATTTCCTCACGAACCCAATCATTTTGCGTTGCACGGGAGACATCTCCCGTCACGCAGGGTGCAGTCGCACCTCCACAGATCTCCAGTATCATCTATTGATACTGGTGATGGCTCAAAAGGGTCACCACTTACGAGCTATTCATGCCTGTGCCACCTTTTGGGTGGCTTCATCTTCATCTTAACACATTCACAAGGGAGACATCTCCCGTCATGCAGGGTGCATTCGCACCTCCACAGATCTCCAGTATCAGCTCCTGATACTGGTAATGGCTTAAAATGGCCACCACTTACGGGCTATTTATGCCCGTGCCACCTTTTGGGTGGCTTCATCTTCATCTTAACACATTCACAAGGGAGACATCTCCCGTCATGTAGGGTGCATTCGCACCTCCACAGATCTCCAGTATCAGCTCTTGATACTGGTAATGGCTTAAAAGGGCCACCACTTACGGGCTATTCATGCCCGTGCCACCTTTTGGGTGGCTTAATCTTCATCAATCAATCAATCAATCATTTTGCGTTCGTTTCGACCCCAACCAATTGGACTGGACGGTCTCGCTTCTTGCAGCTCGGCGTTCAATCCCAGACCGTCCAAGTGGTTGGGCACCATTCCTTTCCCTCGTCCCATCCCAAATCCTTATCCTGATCCCTTCCAAGTGCTATATAGTCGTAATGGCTCGGCGTTTTATCCTGATAGTTCAATTCATTCGGCCAAATTCCTGACTGATACTTCAGAAAGATGAGGTAGACCGATTTTAACAATATTTTAGCAGATTTTAAAACAAAATAAATATATCTCAGAGACAATAAGGGCGTATCATCGATGGTCTTCCAACGCCAGGTGGCAACCATGAGGCTACTTCCTTAGCTGTTCACTCCACGTTCGTGCAGCATTAACAAGTCGAGCTTTACTGTGTTCATCAGTGTCATCTGTGTCGTGCTCTGGACTGGGAGTACACCTTTCGAAAAAATGTCTTCCATTTTTTTTAGTTGATACATTTGCTTAAATTGAAATTTTTGGATCCATTTATTTGAAAATGTTAAGATCCCACATTATACATGAATTTGAAAACAATAATAGTATTTAATAATAATAAAATCTATTAACAGTTTATACATCTACACTTCGTAAGATTTATTGCAACAGCTTATTTCTGGAGTTGCGAGCCAGGGCCTGGAGCTGGAACCTGCATGATAAGTTTCACAGCAAACAGACGCTACAGTTAGGAGCATACTAGGGAGCATTGTGCTAGTTACCAAGGCCATCATCCCAGTTCATGACCTCAAATTGGGAATAATAAGATATTCGAAATTAATGCGAAGCCGAACATCCTGTACGGGGGAAGCTAGGAGTAAGAACAGGAAGGCATATCACACACTTTGAGCCCGTGACTCCTGTGTTTGTGTAAACAAACAGGAGTCAGAACAGGAAGGCATATCACACACTTTGAACTAGGAGTAAGAACACACATAAGCTAGGAGTAAGAACAGGAAGGCATATCACATACTTCGAACCTGTGACTCCTGTGTTTGTGTAAACAAATGATGCGAGATACTGAATCTCAAACTGTGTTTCCGGCTGATTACATATTCTGTTGCCCCATAGCGTCCACTATCCGCTACATTCACCTGGGCTGTATGGGGGGTCTCGAACTGTGGACCCCACGCTTGTGACGCCGAAGCTCTATCGACTATTTTCCACTATCCGTACCTACCCTCGCTCGTCCATCCACCCCTTTCCAGCACAAACTACTTGCTCTTCGACTGCCTTCTTCACACGCCGTGAAGAGGTAAAGCAAGACGGATAGAATCTCTAAAACTTTCAACACACACTCTTGTTTACGTCACACATATTAACCGAGATGGATGCGGTTTATAAAACTGAAACCAGCATTGTCAGGAGCCAGCCGAGGTCCCATAGTAACACCCCGATTGAGCAAAGCACATCTTACGAAAGCTTTTAAACCAACGCTTTCACCATTTTACATAGGGAATAGTGTGGTCTTAGCTCTTGTCTACTAGAAAGACCTCTAAACCAACACGATTGAAAACTTGCTCCTAGGAAACTTTCACTCCCAACTGCTCGCTATGTTCTTGTCCTGTCAGGGTAGGTGGGACGAAAAATAAATATATATATGCCGGTTACAATTTTAATGTGTTTTTGTAAGGAGCCAGATTCACGAAGCAGTTACTCAAGTACTTACGAACGTGTACATCTTTCCTCAATCTTTGACGCCTTTGGTTAAATCTATTAAACAGTTTACAAGCATAAAAACTTGCCAATCAACTGTCGTTATTATTATAAACAGCCTCCTAGTGCTTTGGAGCTCATTAACTGTTCAAAAATTGTAAACAAAGCCGCCAAAGATTGAGAAAAAAT